ATTTGTTGTTGTTAGCTTCGACAAAAACAGGGAAATGTCCTCATGGTATGTAGGCCCTCTATTTCTTATTAATTCATTCAGTTGGCCATTCAGTCTGTCTGTGCTATCATTTAGGAATAATCTTTTTCAACTTTTGGTTACCAATTTGTGTATTCTGTAATTGTAAAACTTTTGGCATTTGTAATTCTATTATGGTTCCCCTTTGCATCTTTCCTGTTCTTTAGAAAGAGAATGGTCTTGAAGAAAGGAAAATGAAAACGAAAATGTCCATCAACCTTGAAAAATATCGTGCAACAGTTCATATATATATTGACGATGAAGTGTTGGTGCCTTCAAGCTTCTTTTGCGTGGAAAGAAAAAATACTATTTGTTGACATCAAAAGAAAAAGAAAAAGGTTTTAAAAAAATTCCCAGAAATTTTAGATATATATATATCTGCAGGGCGTAGGGTGTAGAGAGAATCCGAGAAGCAACTATGGTCTCAAGTTCTCTCTCAATGTCAAATTCAACCTCTGATTTATCTTCTACCTTCACTTCTCTCCTCAGTTCTTCACTAGCATTTAAAAGCAACTCAAAATCAGTCAAAATTTCACCTTTTCTTCGCTTCTCTCTTCAACAATCTTCCAAAGTATTTGCCTTATCTTCCAATAATAATATTAATAATCAAGATGGATCAGCTGAGCAGTTCTTTGATACAGTTCGTTTGGAGAAGATACTAAGCTGGAGCTGAAGCTGGTGAGCTGGACATTAAAAGTTAACAAAGCTAACTGATGGTAGTAAGCTGGCAAGGGAAATTGTTGAGCTGGCAAATGGAGCGGTTAGGTTGTTACCTGGTTGTTAGTAATTAGTTGTTAGCTGGTTGGTTAGGAATAAAAGAGTGAAGAGAGTGTGGGAAATCAGTTAAGCAAGCTGGAATTTCTCTCTTCTTCTCTGTAATTCTTGTTCTTGTTCCTTACGTATTTCTTTCGTTTCATTGTATACATCATTACTTTGATTTCATTCAGCATAATTCTTTGTTTCAATCGATTTTAATACAAATTCACTTTTCTAATATGTTCTTACCATTCTCTATTAGTTTTTCTCCGATTTGAATTGTGAGTTACATCAATTGGTATCAAAGTAGATTCTCGCACTTGTGAACAAAACAAGTGAACGAGTTATGGCAAAAATAGGATCCGAATTGAAAAAAATGAAGGAATCAATTATTAACCTAACAAAGGTTATTACGGAATTAACATAGAGGTGTGATTACGTATTCTTACACCATGATCAAGAAATTAGTAAGTCTGAAGGAGTTGGTTAATGGAGTTAAGAATCCGAGTAGGCTGAACCAACGACAAAGAGAGTGAATGGTAATGTTGATGAGGCTTTGGGTGGGGTAAATGGTAGAGGTTATCAAATACCTAGGTATGGATACGTTTGCAATCCTACTAGAATGATGAACAACAATTTTGAAGGAGTTCCTAGAGGATATAACTTTAACTACAATACTGATATGACTAAAGTGGAATTTTCTAGATTCTCTAGTTATGATTTTGAAGGTCGGGTATTCAAATATAAGAAGTCCTTCATGGTGGATAGAACACCAAATGAAGCTAAGGTGCATTTACCTATTATCCACTTAGAAGATAAAGCATTGGAATGGCATCGGATGTTTGTGAACATGCATGGTGTTAAACATGTGATTAAATGGGAAAAATATCTAGAAGCAATGAATGTACGTTTTGGAGTTATGATCTTCGGTGATCCTATGGCGAGTTGACGGGGCTTAAACGGACTCATGTTGTGCAATCATTTTTGAGAAAGTTCATTTCAATTGTTAACATATTGAACTTACTCGAAGACTACGTTATAAGTCTGTTTCATATGAGGGTTATGTTCCGAATTACAAGTGCCAATGAAGGTGATGCGACCTAAGACATTTAAAGAAGCAATGGCTTTAGCTAAGCTTCAAGAAACTAACCCAAACTTGCAACATCATTCCCGTAAATTCAACACCAAATTCTCAAACACTTATCATCCAAAACCATTTTTGAACCCTACAAACTCAAATTAGAAACTTAACACCAATAATTATAGACCTTCAAATGCTATAAAAAATTCTTCAAACAAAATTTAATCCTACTAATGTTCACAATCCAAAAAGCTTATTACCTTTACCTCCTCAATTCCAAAATGGCAACTCCGTGTTCAAAACAAAGAAGTTTCTCAGTAATAATGAGTCTGGATGAAAGAAGGCTAAGGGGGACTATGTTACTTTTGTGATAATAAATACATGCTTGGCCATAAATGTAAGGGAAGACAAGCATTTGTGTTAGAAGTGAAGGATTGCACGAGTCAAGGATGATGAGAATGATGTGCTTAGGAAGGAGAGGGATATGGAGATGAGGAAAATAGAGATGATCTAGTAGGAGAGCTATATCAAATTTCAATTCATGCTATATTGGGTGGGGAATATTATCGGATAATGAAGATAATAGGAGAAGCGAAGAGTAAGAGGATGAGTATACTCATAGATATTGGTAGTACTCATAACTTCTTGGATTTGGAGTTTGCTAAGAGGAATATGTGTGTATTAAAGAGGATTGAAACAATAACTATTACGGTGACGGATGGTGTGAATATAGTTTGTCGGTACAAGTGCACTAATTTCAAATGAAAAATGCAAGGAGAGGTGTTTGAAGCTACTACTAATGTAAGGCAGTTGGAAATGTATGATATGATTTTAGGAGTAATGTGGTTGTATGCTATGGGAGATATAACTTGAAATTTTAAGGAAATGTGGATGAAGTTTCTTAAAGGTGACAAACTATTTTCTTTAGATGGGAAGTGCATCGAATTGAGTAAGAGTGAGACGGATAAGGTGGTGGATAGAACCATATGTAAACAAAATCAATTAAGTCTGGTTGCAACTTAATCAAGTAGTGGACATCGAAGGCATAGAATTGACTAATGCGGCAACAGAGTTGGAGCAACCAATTCTAGTAGAACTAGTGATAGTACTGAATACGTTTGCGAGATGTTTTTGAAGAGCCAAAAGAGTTACCACTCAACGAATTCATGATCATAGAATCAAGTCGAAGGAAGGATCGGAACCTAAAACAAATAAATTCATTTTTTTGTTTTTGAATTTTGGAAAATAAAAGAACTAATTATAATTTATTCAATATTTTCTATTGTAAAATTCTCATTTTTTTTTTATTATTATTGTTTGAAAATTTGCTGTTTTGGTTAAACCCCATGTCAACAATATATTCCAAAATCAATGAAAAGCATAAGATGATTATAAAATTAATGGTATATCTTTACTTTATGCTATTTCTTCCATGAACATTTTGATTCTTGAATAAAGTATGTGAAGATTCTTGATTGAAATACATTCAATTGATAAGTACTTATTATAAAGCTTTCTTCAAGTTAGGATTCTTTCTTTCTTTCTTTTTCTCTTTTTAGGTAACCACTAATGAAAGTTCATATTTTATATCTTCTTTTTAGGTTAGTAGTGTTTAAATAGACTAACCACCAAAGCAAGACAAATTAAGATGGAAAAGATGAATGATCCAAGTTGTGTTTTTTCGCAAAAAAGAAGTTGAGGTTTGGAATTCCTCTCTTGTGGTGCTACTAAAGAAATCTGGAATTCCATGCTACAATTGAGTTTTATTCGAAGATCATCAGCCAATCGGGAGTTTGAATTTGCTAAGAAGTTCTTGCAAAAGAAAAGTTTCGAATCAGTTGTTTTGAGATTGGCCTGGTACAATTACATTTGGCTTGAAAGAAACAAAAGAATTTATGGCAATGAAGTCACCAGCAATTCTTCTCTAGTCAAGCAGATCGTGAAATCCGTCTAGTTTGAAATTAAGATTTGTAATTTTTTTTTCTCCTTTAGTTTTCTCTCATTAGCTTTTTAGGATAAATATTACCAGTTTGTATGCTTTTATAGTAGGATAAAACCTCTCAATTAAATTTTTTTTTAAGTAACATTTTAATCCTTTTCGGATGAGCTATTATGATCCCCTTGTAATGAATAGCTCAAATTAATATGCAATCAATAATATCCACCTCTGATATAGATTTTCCTACGGCCAAATCAGACGATGAAGGAAGATTCCTTCATTGTACGTAATTGGTATTCTGCCTGGTGCTGCTTTGTAGATCATCGTAATTAGTATTCACTTTACGTAGAAGTATCAGAGACAACTCGAACACAATGTCAGCCTCAACACTACTCCTTTTTGGTCCTTCTTCACTATATAAAAAGGATTATTTCTAATTAATATTCCTACAACAACCACTACATGGAATCTACCCTCCATAATGGTAGTATTTTTTTGTTACTAATTAAGACTTCTTGTAGCCATTCGTCGGCATCTTTTGTCTCCAAAAATAATAGCACTAATCGATATTATTACTAAAATCTCTGATCAAGTCGTGTGAAGAAAAGTCATAAAATTTTCATGAATGCACTAATCCCAACATGAAAGCCAGAAAAACTTTAATCACTGTAATAGATCAATTTTTTATATTTGAGGGGAAAAAAAAAATAGTTCGCATTTCTTCCAGATAATCCAGAGTAACTACACAAACACATTTGAAGCGATCAAATAACCACATTACAACGAAAAGAAGATTTTGGAGGAAGGATGGGGCACTTCAATTCCCAAGTACCATATCTTTATCATCCCCAATAATACATTGCTTTCAAGGGGCATTTTAGAGGAACGAATCAACATATAAATTACAGTATCAAACGTCTATTTCCTTCAGCTCTCAGAGGAATGATAAATGAAAATGATCAGAATAGACTTCATCTCATACTGCTTCTGGAAAATTGAATCGTTTCATCTCACAATGGTAGCGAAGTAGCAGAGGGATCAGATAAGGCAAGCACAATGAGCAAATCAACAAGAGAACACACAAATGGAAAACATATCATTAAACCAATCGTCAAATGGTGAAATACAAGTTACAACCTGTTTCTGTTTATTAAAAACTAGCAAACTTCACCGTGTGTTATACGCCTTCTGATCAATTCCCTCTTATCAACAAATAGTGCTACATGGAGCTGATATGCGTAGAAAGAATAATGAGATACAAGCACACGATGTGAATTTTTATTAAGATACAACAACTATGACAGAAAAAATAGGCCATAGGCAAAATTTGGTGGTTCATCCCCAACGCTTCACACAATTTACATCTCCAATGTTGATGTCAGATTAGATAACGCCATCAACATGTAAGCATTTCCTGCCAGAACCTTTAAGAGTTGAAACTTTAATACCAGATACGATAAAAAATCAAATATTGATGGTCGCTTCCCATAACCTAAGAACTCGCCATCAACATGTAAGCATTTCCTGCCAGAACCTTTTAACAGTTGAAACTTCAATACCGGATATGATACAAAATCAAATATTGATGGTTGCTTCCCATAACCTAAGAACTCCATTACGGCCACCACTACATATCCTTTTCCTTTCAAGGTCAGAAGCCACACATCTAACCTGTATGCCACAAACAATGCCGGAAAGAACAGGTGAAACATGTAAATGATGATCCATATGTTACTCTAAAAAATTATTATTTCCAGGGATAATAGAAACAAATGCCTATCGATATATCAAAACGAATGTTCATGTTTGTCATGGATCAGTTTTTGAAACATGCATCTATCATTATGATTTATCTGACTCAGAAGCCTGTTTCACCATCTTTCATTTTCATTAGAACCAGCACAGTTTAAAGAGAGACAAGGCAGAATCAAAGAGCAAACAAGTACATATAAAGCAAAAATCAAAACATATAGAGTAACCCATGAACTGCAGCCTTCAAGTACCCTCAGACTGCAGGCTTAAAACAATAGCTATCGTATGTGATTCCATTGAATGGAAGGCTGCCTTTTGCTTATTTAGTTAAAGGTTCGACTGGCAGTATGAAACTGGCAGGAGCACTTTAACTGGAATTGAGATTACATCAAATGGTCCAATTAAAGAACAAAACTCAAGAAAAGAAGTTGTTACATACTTATTTGCTAATAAGCAAAACAATCAACTACTAGTGTTGCTGGTTAAGTAGTCAAGGCTGTGGGGAGAAATTAACCACACAAAGGATGCTGGAATCGATCAACAAACTACCAGAACAGCACATCTGCTTTCTTAAGTTGTGAGAGATCATTTATCAGTAAGGGATTATGACAAGAGACAAGGCCAAATGAGATATCAACAGGCATAATGGAAAGGCAAAGGATTGCTAGATTACACCTACCAGGCAAAGGACTTGCTAGATTAAGGTGTAAGAAGAGCTTGGATGTATACAATATCTTAGTATGGCTAATCAGGAGATAGAGACTTCAACACTAGAGTAAGTTGACAGAAAATATGTAGGTGGAAGAGAACATTTAAGATCATTATCAAGGAAAGTTAAACGATAACAAAACAACAGCTGAATAAGTATTCTCTACAAGGTTAACTGTTCCATTCCACCTGGGCATTAGCATGACACAAGGTTACCTAAACAAACAACGGATCAAATAGAGTGAGATCTAGCACAGAATGGGCAATGCATGAGCAAATGTTAACATGCCAATTTAGCCATGAAAAACTTCAATAACTGAATTAAATTCACCAAAAACATACTCCCTTTTTTCAACCTTTGAAGGAGAACAATTAATCTGTAAGGTTATGTATTGATTGAGGTTAAGGGGAGTTGAGTGTTATGGAGTTAACATTCGACCCACTTTAACCTTGATATACTTCATGAGGTGAAGGTAAATGAGGAGGATAACCATAGTTCCAAATAATGGCATAACGTAACAGCCTTTATTTAACAGATTCGAGCAAGCCCGTGACCGTTATATGCCGTTATAAAGAGCATAATGGCATTTCACACAAATAACAATGTTATACACCATTATCGTTATATAACGTTGTTATCAAAAAAAATTCTTTATATTTCATTGTTTGTGAGATATTAAACTATTAGAAGTTTTATTAACTTTTTTCTAATAAATTCAACAATTATTGTATAATATGAAATTATTAGAGATATTATTATGCTTAATTAGTAAAAATGTTAAAAATATATGAATTAGAATAAATTTATTAACAGCTACTAGCCTACTAATACATTCAAGACATTAGTTGTCGTGTCTATTATTTTATTATCGCAATAAGCTGCAACCTGCAATCGTGATCACGATTGCTTTTACAACCGCATCCGCGATTTACACTATGAGAATAACTATTAACCCAAAAAGGGGTTAAGTGTTAATCTAGTGGAGGGGATTTTGAAGCTTGTGCAAAATATTTTTTTTTAATTCATATTTTAGTTTCCCTCAATTTTCCTCATACCCAAGAATTGAGTCCCACCATTATACATTATTTATTACTTCTTTATTATAATTATTCAAAATTAAATTTTAAGAATTATCGAGCCCCATAGTTACACATAATTTCTATGCAACTACCAAACATACTTTACACTTTACCATTCAACCACTATTTTTATACCCTTAACTCCTTCCTTAACACTTAAATCTCCAACTTTTAACCACGTACAAAAACAAATATGCCTCATTCCATAATATTGGAAGTTGGGAGCCAAAACACATTCAATGCACTGAATCACCATGAACTAAACAATGAATACTCTACATCCAACATTTAATTATTTAGCATTTGACATTTTCTTTTTAATTCACACAAGATGCAAGCTAAATAGCACGATGAAGAGACAGTTTAAACCTGCCCAACATCTAAACATTTTTTGAGCAGTACTGGGTAAGTTCACAAGGCTAAGGTTGTGTTTGGTTAGGGGTTCAAAACTGAAGGTTAAGACTGGGTTATGCATTCAGGGATGAAAAGTTATGGGTGTAAAAAAGTGATTGAAGGGTAAAGTGTTAAGGATGCTTGGTAGATGTGTAAAAATTATTTGTAAAGGTGGGAACTTATAATTTTTTTTAATCAATATTGAAGTTATATACAATATATCATGTGTAATGGTGAGACCTAATTTTAGGGAGTGAATAAAAGAGAGGGAAAAAAATATTAAATTTGAAAAGAAAAAAAGGTGCACAAATCCCAAAAAAATTTCCCTCCTTAACAATTTTATCACCCTCCCCCACTAGGTTCACACTTAGGTGATGTTTGATACGAGGTTAAAAAAATAGAGGTGAATTATTAAAGGAGTAAATACACATGAGCAGTGCAAAAGTTGGTTTTTAAGGATGTTGGGTGTATTCATAAAATGAAGAATGAAATGTTAGTGGAAAGAGAGGATAATTAAATTATTAGTAATGATTGGTGAGAGAAAATTAAAAATTAATTTGGTGTATATTGGGATAAAAAAGGAGAAAAAAAAAACTTGCTTGGAGGGTAAAATTTTTGGGGTAACAATTACCCCAACCCCCACCGCATTCTCTTTAATAATTAACTCCTCAAAAAATAAAATAAAAATAAAAACTCCCAAACAAGGTTAAGAGGGGTTAAATGTAAACCCATTAATGTTTAACCCCCTTTAACCCCAAACCCAACCCAACCTAAAAGAAGGGAGGGCCCAAGAGGACATATTAGATTTGAAATTGGGAATGTCAGCTTGTAAGTCTTGGATTCAAATCCTATTTGAATTGGGTTGAGAGGGTTATGGGATGAGAGAGGGAAATTCTTGTTGTAGAACACAAGGCCTAATGTGCATTTCAATGAAAACATGCACAAGAGCAGCAGAATTAACCATAGTAACTAGGAACAAAGGAACAGTTTGATAAAACCAATAAAATTCATACCATAGCAACTGTCCTTTGAGGTGTTCTGTAAAGTTGCCACCCAGCCATTTTTGATCCCGTGCTAGAGAAGCTGCCAAGTCTCTCTTGAGGCCGGTGAAAGAGAGACATAGAATTGTCAGCTGCTCCAATTCCCAACCAGTGTTCCCCAGCATTGATGGATAATATAGGGGCAACATGAATGGTAACATTCTTCACGCATCTTATGTCTCCTGCAAACATTATGTAAAAACTGGTATCAGGACATATCATGCAAGACACTGAAAGCAGGCCATGACACTATGCTCAAATGATATCCAAGAGCAAAGAAACTGTTAAATATTACAGGAAGAAATACGGTCAAAATGCTTTTTTTGGTTGACCTCTCAATATATGTAAATAAAAAAGACATTCACTTATTCATATTATATGAAAAAAAAAAAAAAAAAAAAAAAAACGAAGCAGGACAAATAGCAATGGAGAAAGATCCTCTTAAATTAAGGGTTAAATATATGTCATCCTTGCACTTACGATGCTGTCGATCCCAAATAGAAGGGATGGAAAAATAAAGAAAGAGAGAATTAGAAAAAGAAACAATCAAAATGGTATTGTTTGAAATTTGAAACAAGAAACACGAATGAAAAATTAAGTAATTATCAGCTAATAGAGCTTGTTAAGTAAAGTACCCCTAACCACAATTCCATCTGTTAGGATGCATGTGTTCAGAGAGTAAATGAAGAATTCTGAGAGAAGAAACTAGTATTTTGTGGACAAGCACTGTGTAACTTCCTTAATAAAAAGAAACAAAAAAGCAAGATTATTTCAGCACATGTATTGACAACTCCTTTGTTATATACTATCCACCGATGCAAGCCAGATGTGACTACTCAAGTTTGGAAAAATTACATCTTAACAGATCCAAACATGGAAGAGCTCAAATGTATAATTAAAAAAAAAAAAAAGATACAAAGTGCAACTTGGCAAGAAAAATACTGGACTTACCTTCCTCATTTTCCCAAAATCGGAGAAGCCCATCAGTTGAACCTGAAAAAGAAATCGCATTTCATTACACATCTATACCAGTTCATGTTGGCACTTAAGACATTTTTCAGTATGAATCTTTAGCATTCACGCTGATACTTAAGATATCGATAACCCTTACTATAAATGATAAAATATCTTAGGAGCACAAGGTAAATGCAATCAAATCACAACAAAGACAAAGTAACAGATACTTACCTGTTATTATTCCTCGATCTGACATGGAATACTCAACACACAGTATTGGACCAGCATGGCAGGCTAGAACAGCATCACATGTTCCTCGTGAAACAGACCACACTCTTGCAGTCCAATCATCACTACCCGTAATCAGTGTGTCTCCAACCATTCTAATTGACCTGCATAATGGAAAGTCACAAGGCTCCTCTCCAGCTATAATTAACAGTTATCATAGATAGAAGAAACATACTACACTGCTCACCGAATCCATTTTGTGTGCCCTAAAAGCTTGTGCATCTGCTTACCAGCACGGATGTCCCATATATTTGCAACCCTGGTAATGCAAATGTTAAAGAGGTTGGTTTACAGTAGTCAATTAAAGAATAAAGACTAAAAAATATACTGTAGCATTTGAAGTTTCAAAGTACATACGCATCTCTACCAGCAGCAGCAAGAATTCCAGTGGAATCATCATACTCCATGCATAGGACTGCACTCGAGCAACGGCCAACTGTTGCCACACAAGTATCAGTTCGGACATCCCACATCTTAACAGTTCCATCATGTGCAGCAGTAAGGACACGTTCACCAGACAGCATACGGACACAGCTAACCTACAAAAATAAATAAAATAGCTATTTTCAAATTCAAATATCTTTTCCATCTCAGTAATGTCTAAATTAGTTGTGTTGTTTGCAAAAACAAAAATTTGCAAACTTGCAACATGCAAGATCAAGCATACGAGTGTTACGCAGGATCTCCAGGAAAGCAATAATAAGAAAATTATTGTTAAATTAAGAAAAGAAAAATCAGCATAAGTAAAAAAGAAATGAAACAAAAAGTTTTCCAGCACCAATAACTTAATCCAAGCATGACACCAACTGAAAGAACCTTTAAAATAGAATGCAATGCTAGACTCAGGCAACTTTCTCACATCAAAATATCGGATTAACAATGCATGCAACTCTGAAAACCTTTGTGGTTCTATTCCCAGTGTAAAAAACCTAGCATAGATGCTTTGCATAGGCAAACCTGTGCATCATGGCCCTTCAGCTCTTCAAGAAGCTGGGATGTTTGCTTATCCCATACAATAACAGACTGATCATCAGATCCTGACACCACTTTTCCTCGATCAGAACTTATAGCACGAACAGTTCTGCAGCCCACAAATGTTAAGGTCAATTATAGGAGGAATGACCACTGAAGAAGCAGGATCATCATGACATACTGACTCGAATAAATCATCACAAATACATAAAAACATGTAAAGACACCTAGTATGCCCTTTCAAAGTTGCACGAAGTTCGGAACCACGAATGCTAGGATCCCAGATTTTAACCTGCAAAGATCATTCAAAAGAAATAAATGTCGCATAATTCAATAATGCTGTCAAGATTTCATAGTTGGATCCATCAATTAATCCTAGCATGTCCCATGTCACAAAGGCTATGATCTACAGGGAAAACATGTAGGCTGGATTACAGGATTGGCAATTAACTAATCAATTACAAGGCATGGTTGTTTCCGAGTCAAGGTGGCATAGAAGTTTGAATGGTCCTGTCTTAATTCCTTCAATTTAGAGCCAGGAAACAGAAGCTTTAAGCCATAACAGTAAAGAGTGCATCAGAAAGCATGGCTCTGCAGTTAAACTTCCAGGCACAACTTGTGTACATGAATTATACAGGGATGGAAATGAATCTGTTATGTTAAATTACCATGCAGTCTGTGCTTCCACTGATAAAGAAACCGGCATCTTCACGGTCACCAACCAGATCCCATACCTCTCTTCTAGTTACACAATGTAAGGCAGTAACAGCCCCACTATGCCCTCTAAGTATGCGAACATTGGTTTGAAGTTTCTTCTGCGCAACAGCAGATGAATCTTGTCTTCTAGGGGTTCCATTTTCATTTACTGCTTGAATCAGAAATAAACAGCAGTGTTGAAATCACAGAAGAAGATGACAAAATGGTGATACAATGGTAGACAAATTATTGTAATACAGGTGACCCATCGCTACGCAAACACAAACCCGAAGTGCCATCGGAAGCCCCTTTACGAACACGACTAAAAGAGTTTGCTCTGGATGAATCTCTGCTAAACATGCTTTGGACCCAGCTCCTGCCAATAACAGAAGCTTCTGCAGGTTGGTGATTCTCATCCATAGAATCTTTTGGGCGTGGGGAAGACAATCCAGGAGATAACATGGATTGGGCTTTTACAGAAGAGATTCCCCAGTAACTGATACGAATTTGCTGGATGTGTGACAAGAATCCTCTGAGTTTTATCTGAACCAAAAAACAAAGCAAAATTCAGTAGCATGAAATCATAAAAGATGCAAGAAAATAGTGAAAACCAATTTAAATCATCACCAAATCTCTGGGTTTCATGAGAAATACGTTGACAACTCAATGAATTTAGAGCAAGTCTCTAAGCCCAGAGGATTGAGCAACTCCACAATAGATAGTGATTATGAGACATGGACAATTAAACATAAGAATTATCATTTGGCATGTCACACAGGATCAGATCACGATCTCCAAATACCTAGATATAAAGACACAGGTCTCTGCAACCTATGATGCCAAGATATAAAGCTTGACTATGATTGAGTGTTCAAAATAGTCCAAAATGATTAAGTAAACATGGAAATAGTAATTATGTACAAATTCTATCTCAAAATTACACGTGAACCTATGATTGGCAATTATTTCAATCTCCTTTGGACACTATCATTTACCCAAGCAACATCTCTTCTTTTTTTCTTTTTCTCTTTTTTTTTTCAGAACTATAGGTAGAAGTATCAGGATGGCACATGCTTGATTCATATTGTCTTTGAAGCAAACCTAAATTCATTTTATTCAAGAATCCCTATGTTCCGTTACAAAAACATTTACGTAAATCAGAACCAAAGGCATTATTCAATCAAATAGTACAATGTGATTAAACATTTAGAAGTCAAGAAAGCTAAAATCACAGACGGCACAGAACACTGAGGTATGAAGAGGTCCAATCACAGTAGAAGTCCCACTTCAAAAACCTGCATATACTGGCCAAAAAAGGGGGCCAGGTTGCTACTGTGACCCATGGATCTTAACTAAACCACAGCAAGCAATATACAAACAGGAGTCAACTTACAAACTGTTTGTATCCAACATGATTCTTCTCTGCTATTGTTTCAATCATGTGCCAAGCATCAGTATCAAGAAGTCCCAATCCAACCTTCACAATAACATGAAACATGACCAGAACAAGTAAGAAAACCCTGCAGGAGGGGGAAAAGAGTAACACAAAAGAAATATAGACAGCGAAGACCACCATGTGTAATGCCACAAGAATTAGTTGGGTTGTCACTAAAGCTGCATAACTGGCTGACCTGCTATAAAAATAAAAGAGCATAACACCTCAGAAGCTTAGCATGCCCATTCTAAAAGATAAAGGTGATTATAATCCTTCATCAAGGAAAGAATGAAAGAACAGAAAAAAGGGCTAAATTTCATGCATCCTAGAACTGAAGAAGTGCCTCCCAGCACTCAGCAGCTGTATGTTATTCTCTTCGTTATCCCCCTTTTTCTCTCAATATGAGTGCACAGATGGAGCAGAGGGCTGACATTAAACACACAAACTGGTTATATCAATGGATGCTCTTTACAATTCATTATGGCTCTTTCATCACAAGAACCGCCACATGACTCTCAAGGATTATACTTGCTAACTTCTCCATATTATTTTCACCAATTACTAATAAAAGAGAAAACATTAACTTTACCATTGGATGAAGCTGGAATATTGACAAAGATCAAATTTAAGGGATTTGATGAGCAGTTTTATTAATTGTTTTTTAATCATTGTAACAAATATTAGCAAATAGTTAAATAATTAAAATTAATTAAGATTAAGTATCTCAAATAGTTGAGAAATTGCAGCCATACTTGCTTGAAGGATGCTCCATTAGATACTCAAAGTACCCCTCCCAGAACCTGCATGATAATCAAACAGACATCTCAGACATCTACAATTTCCATTTTTATTTTCTTTTTTACAATTAATGATTCATTGAAGCAACAACACCCACAGGATTACATGAGATGCTCTATAGACAAATAAAAAAGGAAATCGAGATATGATCAAAATAGACTCTGGTAATTATAGAAAGAACAAAAAACCTATTTTTAAAGACATAGTGACCAAATTACGAGAGGCTGTAAAATGACATCATGACAATAAAAGAAATCCAGCAGAAAATGAATAAATGCATACCTTAGCTCCTCCCATATAGACAGAGAAATAAGATGACGCTGGACATAATCAGAAACGTTATTAGCATCTCTTTTATACATCTCAGCAGATACTTCAAGGGCATCTCTAATGGTTGACAGATCATTCCGGGAGGTTGCACGACTAATTGCTGTTTTAAGCTGAATTTACACAAATAAAATTTAGGAGAATTAGATTAATCAACATGAAAGGTCACATAGGGAGAGGCAAGGTGAGGATGGGTATAAGAATTCTTAGATTCTGAAGCAACAATTTATTTGCAAGTGTGAAAACATCATGGATATTCAACAAAGAAAAGCTTAAACATCAAACCCACTATGAAAATCATAGTCAAATTCAAATTCACAGAAAATTTTGTAAGGTTATTTGGAGGTATATATTAGAAAATTTAACCAATAGGAGTTCTCTCATGCTAAAAGAAAGCCTTGTTGCAGCTTCTGCATACCAGTTCTTTCACCGCAATAAACTGCTCATCGGTCAATTGACAGTGCCATCCCTGCAAGAATAAATCCAGCAAAAAGTTGGCTTAATCATAAACACAGAAAACATTCAAATAAGTTTATGCCCTCCCTACTTACAGAGTGTATATGCTCCCTTATACATTCAACAAACCCACTGCCACCAATCCCCTCTGCGTCAGACTCAATCAGTGCTGCAAAGCCAGTAAACAAAACACCAATCAATCTGCAGAACTATTCTAAACTATAAAGCAAATAAAATTGAGGATTGAATGGCATAAAATGTTCATCTAAAAATGTCAATGAGAGGTTTAACCTCTTGTAGAAGCATACCAAGGATAGTGCCATATTCAAAAGATGAAAGTGGATCATCAGTAGCTCCAAGTTTAAGAAGACGCAACCACAAACCCTGTATAGAAGTGAAAAATAGTGCTTCAAAACAGAAGTACGTAATTATGGAAAGAAGAAAGATGTAGCAATTTCAGTATGGTTATCAACTTGAAATTCTACCAAATTACAGTTTGTTTTCTCCATCACAGAAGCACAGAAATAAAAATAAGATTGAACACCTAATTTACCTATTCTTGCATAATCTATTGGTAATATTAATATGGCATGTATGCAAGTTGCATCATTTAAAGTTAAATGATATTCCTAGCCTCTAAAAACTCAAATAATTGCACTACTGGTAAAATCACATGCAAGACCTTTCCCTTCCATCCACAGAATACAACAGTAACAATACCCATCCCAAACCCATGGATGCAGGAGCAAAATAAAGACAACAAAAAAGAAACCTTCTCAGATGAAGCTGGTCCCCATTATAAACAAACGTTCAAGAGGCTAGGATGATAGACTGCAGGCTAAAGCTATGGTTGGTATTCTGTTTGATTATAAACCAAGAATATGCAGCAAAACTCTAATTGGAACAAAATCCTTCAACTCCCCTGAATCTAAGAATGGACTGCTTAAAAGGTTAAATCTAGTTAATATGAGTTATTACATTTTAAGATTATAACATGATATCTTTAAATATAAAAGAACTCCAAGCATGAAGAAATCTCTACAAGATCAGCATTAACATCAAATCCAGTAAAATGGTATCAGGCATTCCTATGTGTTAAATTCTAGAACTACCTAGATAGTTCATTAGCATTCAAAGAGGAAAAGACGTTTTACCTGCAGCTTAACTTGAATGTCCAAAACCATGCGCTCCCTTTCTGCCTGTGAAACATAAATATTCATTGTTCAGGATAGTTCCCAACTTCAAAGACAGAACCACTGTTGCACCAATCATGATATAAAGAACTTACAGCCCTCTCCATGGGACTAAGAGAATCCTTTCCCACTTGCACAGATGGAGAACTGGTAAGGAAATAAGAGAGATTAGGAATTGCGCAATACAAATCAAACGAACATAATGAAAATTAGTATAAAGCTAAGTAGAACACATATATGGACTTAGCAAAACACAAAGATACCTGGGAGCATGCTTTATGTATTCAAAAGCTCCACTTGCTGCTGCAAGAATTTGCTTCCTCTTCTCCTCTAGTTCTTCTGATCTGATATTTGAAGGAAACCTATCATAGGTATATTTAGCACCTGATCCTGACGGATACAAGGACATGGTGTTACTATAATGTTATAAAATAATTTGAGACGTATTCGTTTCAATTTCACACATTAAATCACTAAAATTAAGACCTCAAATTTACCCAATATTCCGACATCTGGATCTGATATGGTTATAATCTCAGGCTCTACCAAAAAAGAGGGAAGAACTGAAATGGGATTCTGACCCCTTCCAATTGCATCTTGTAACTTGTCAAGAAGATTATTATTGCTTTCATCAGAACCACTACCTCTCTCCAGATAATCCAAGAAGCCATGGGAATCTAAGAACTGTGTTATCTGCACACAGCAACAAAGTAATCAGCACAAGGAGAACCAAATCAACCAACACAAAAAATGGATGCAAACAATAAAAATAGATTAAAACACACAAAATATCAATTTTCACAATTTAACTATGCAGATTGTTCAAAGTTGGTAAATGATGATGAGAAAACAACATCACCATGGGATCCGGTGGTTGGTTGGTTGACCGGGAGCGTTTCCTCAAAAATGCTTGAGCGTTGAAGGCATGAGTGGCAGTATTTTCCTGGAAATAGTTGACTTTGTAAAATTAATTTGAAGAATGTCAAGGTAGGAAATTTTCAAATTAATTCAAGGCGACAATAAGAAAAAGAAAACGCCAGGAAGTCATACAATGAAATTCCGGTAACCACCTAAAATGGATGCAAAGAACTTTAGGAATATTAACCTGCATAGAATGCAAAAATCTAACAAGATTAGAATCAAAATAAGAACTGAAAATAATTAAGCTCTCCATGACTACACATCCTGCATTGTTGTATGATGGAGTACTTAGCACCAATATGATACAACACAAGCATTTAAAATCAAATTTCTGTAAAGAGCATACAGCAATACAAAGTTATACTACATTGTTATTAAAATAGCTGGACAAATGTAAAGTTATACTACATTGTTATTAAAAATAAAAATACCTGATTCACTAGTAGAAAACCTAGGAAACACAGTATATCTGATAAGATCATAATCATATAGGAAAATTATATGAGATACACGTATAACTACAAGTAACTATATAGCATCTTTTAGAAGGTTTTTGACCTTAACATACAACACTGAAAATTTATAAGTTCCAGAATTCCTGGAATAACCAATACACTGTTGGATTTTCTCTTTTATTGCCAAGAAGGGGGATTAACAAAAATAACAGAGGAGACAGGTGGAGTGCTGTATGTACAATATATGTAATTACATGCTTAGCAGTGCAATAGCAACTAAAAAGCTTTCAAGCTAAGACCTTGATTGCTGGCAACAAGCATAATCACTGTTATTGGCAATTTATAAATAATTGCATGCCTTTATGCTTCTACAATTCTCAGCTAAGCAAATCTACATAACATCCATCTCCTCTTATATATGATAAAAACAATATATTGCAGAGCAATAAAAACTATACAAAACATATCAATTATACAGAGTATATTGTCAGAAGAACTTTGAGGAACAATTCATGTAAAAGCACAATAAATTTAAACAAGGAAAGCAATGAGTACTTCATAAAGATTTCACAGTGCATCAAGTATCACCTAAGTTGGAGGTCATGATCTTCTCCCCAAGGCTTGTTGAAGCCATTAAAATATTGCTCAGATGAGTTAACCAGACTAGCTTTCATCTGATCTATTCCCATAACATTGGGGTACAATAACTTCAGTATCTCACACCGCAGAGAACTTAATTCAGGCTCTGGAATAGGTGGTATTTCCTCTGAGGTGCAAATACGGTTATACTCAAGGTCCACCACAACTACCTGCAATACAATAAAATAAAAAATGGAAAGAATATCATAAGCCAAAGCTCAAGATAAAGCTGAAAGTATTTCAGCCAATAAATATAAAATTCTGACATAAAACAGAAAAGGGAAGAAGATGGATATTGATTGAATATCAGCCTTTATAAGCAATAAAAGACTATGAAGCAATACTCAAAGCTAAACTAAACCTCAATCCAAAACTAGTTAGGGTCGACAAAGGGATCTACTTCCCTCATTTTCATTCTATTATGAGCTAAAAGACCATGCAGCAATCTGCTACTATGTAATAGTTATGAGAAGAGTATTTAAGCACATATCTCAATGCCAAAACTTGAAAATGATGGTTATACTGAACAATATTCGCACAGCTCCTTAATTGAAGAGAGAAACTGCCCACCAATCAAAAGGTAAAATGAGAGAATTGGAAGCCAAGATCTGAAGTACCAGATACCCTAAGATGAAGATGCAGGGGGAAACACCTAATTATGGTCTTTACATCATCCTATAGTCTTTTAATTTAACGACTCATATGGTGTAAGTACCCAGGCATACATTGAAATCAGATAAGATTACATAACAGAATTATCAAAATTAACCAAAAAAAACTAAAGTAAAATGATCGGCTACTATTCACTGTATTATTTGAAACACTTGTTTACCCAAACTCATTCACAGTGGTATTTTTGTAATTTTCAAACATTTTAAAGACATTTATTATAAAAGTTTTCGTGATATTATACTTTAATCCTTCTTTCTTAAACATTGTTTTTTTAGTCCACAAATATTTTGTTTCATTTTGGTCCCTCTTTTTTTCATTTTGATCGCTTTCGTCCTTTTTTCTCTATTTTTTCAATTAAAAATTTGAAGGAAAAAAAATGTTTAAAAAAAACAATTTACAAAATAAGTTTTTAGCTAAGAATCCATTGATTTTGACATTTTTTATGCTATTATAAATTTTTTAGTTTGTGGATAGAAATAAATAAATAATATTTCGAAAATTTATGAAGAATATAAAGAATAATCAGTCAAATCCAAAATTTTGATTAAAAAATTATAAAATTGAATGAATTTTTATTCTATTTTGATTTAATATATTTTGATATATGCACAATATAACACAGAACATCAAACAAAGATAATTCTTTAAAAATAATTTTATGTGTTCTACCCGATCAGCAGCATGGTGCGGATAAACAAAAAATAGTTAGATCACCAACACAAAATGTTATATACTTTAATCTTAAACTGTAGTGATCCCTACCCAAACAACAAAATAAAAAGTGATGCAAGACAGCTTATGAGCTGTTCTGGATTTGTTCTTTGGAGGTTTAGGGCTGTTTAGGTCTGTATTGATGTGGATTTGTACTGGGAATTATAGAACTATTAGAGTCACACTAATAGGGTTTCTAAGAATCACTTGAGTCACACAATCAAAAGCAAATTACTGAAAATTATTTGATATTATTGCATTCTGAATATTGAAAGACTACACACTGTATTTATAGAGTTGTAGAAGTCCAAATCCAATTAGGATAAGGATTCCTAAACCTCCAACGTTACTATTCCTATTTAGAATAGGAAAACCTATAACTATTCCAATTTTGGAATAGAAAAACCTAATAACTTCAGGACTAAGAAAACAAAATACTAAACAAAAAATAAAGCCTAGACCTAGACAATTTCCAGATTTTCCAAAAATTGCAGAAATACCCTTGTCTACTAAAAGACACAAATTTTGCTTCCTTTGTTGCCCGCATCAAAAAGTAATACGAGACTCATTATGAAGTATTTTAGCAGACAGGATCATACCCACATTTTGCATTTGAGCTTCTACTTATGTTGTAAATAACCCTACACTATTCGCACCATTTTCCAAGAGAATCCTTCCACAGTTTGCACAACATAGTAGTCACAGTTCTATTCATTTCAGGAGTCAATTTCAAGTCACATCATATGATGAACGGATCTAATATTGTTTTGAATTGTGTGCACCTTGCTCCTTCACCAGACACTCACTCCTCTTTCCTAGCTACTAAATAACAGCCAACATAAGGAAAGGCAAGTGAAAGAGGCTAAAAAAATATATGAATGGCTACAAAACAGGAAACAATTCATCTGTCATGGGAGTATCCTAGCAAAACAAAAAGTCGGCGATCGCTATTGACTGGAAGGTGTATATTAATCATTATTTCCAAGAATATTAAAAAAATGTGGGCCAGTTAGTGCTATGCATTCTATAAAGCAAAACCAGAAACCACATCATAGCATTTTCAAAATATTCTACTCAGTTGAGCTGTCCCTGACATAAAAGAGCTAATAGAAGAAATGCTGCCAAATTCCATGCTAAAGAAAATAAAAAATATAAACACAATAATAATAATAAGAAGAAGAAGAAGAAGAAGTAGAAGAATATTATAATAATAATAATAATAATAATAATAAGGCATGAGAACATATTACCAACTAATAATATATAATTTATTAAAGCAAACAAGTGAATTCAACCATAAGTTTAAGCAAAAAAACTTACACCATCCATTGCAAGGTTAGATGTATCAACGGTTGAATGCAGACCCATCATATATGGTGTAGGAGCATCAATGTAGTCTACTCCACTGAAAAATAGTAATGGAATGTAGACATGCTTCAGCACAACAAACATAAAATGATTAGTAGTGAGCCAATAAGAGAATCACATGAACATATGAATATACCATCAGCCTATCCAAGGAATGAAAATATTTTAGCTGCGATTATCATCTATGAAGATAAAATAAGGTTCAGCATAAGAAGGCAAAATGAAACATGTTTTTATACTCTGACAAAAGAACAGTGAACTTCCAAATCATTAAAACTCACCTGCCACCTAAAGGGATAAATCAAATGACATATGGCCTCTGATGCTAGGGTTAAAAGTGAATACCTGCCTCAGAAGAATAGAGTACAATTAAAAACTCAAGAGATATTAGCAAGCATTATTTGAACTGATGCTTCAATGGTAGGTAAATCAACAATTTGCAAACAATCAGCTGCTTTGGTAAAGATTGCAGACAACATTTTAGTTGAGCCTATGGCCTTGAGTAAGAAGGCATGGTAAATATATGCAAACCCAGGGATTAACAATTGGAAAAGAAGGGCAATCAAATAATGGGAGCTAGCGGCTGGAGCAATGCATAAATGCGTCTAAATGGAAACCACGCCAATTACCAATGACATAATTGGATGTTGACTCCTCTAACATTCCCAAAATATCTAATTAAAAACACCTCCTGATAGTCGTAAACCATAGTATACAAGATAGGTTAAATTGAAATAATAATCAAACCAACAATATAGCTTACCTCTAATATAATACAAATCCATGGAAGCTTGTTGGTCATTTCACAAACCCAAGGCATCTCTCCCATTCAGTATGGATTAAACAGATATTAACTATCTAACATCATTAGCCTAATTCACATCATTCTTGTGTGCATGCATACCATACCAAAACTGAAGCAGATTTACAGGTTATTAATACCTAATCGGGAACCTAAAGTTGAACAAATGATGATGCACAAACTTGACCAATAAAACCAATGCACAAGTTTTAATAGGCATGCAAACATATCCTAGACAACTTCTGAAAATTTTCCACGTAGTGAGAGTAGTAAAGAGAATCAAATCAATGGTAATTATATTTCATTACTTCTCTAAAACAATTATTTATTGTCAAAGGGTCAGAGAGATACTTGTTGGAACGAAGTAAAATCCTCCTTTCAAGTAACACAGCAGTAAAAAGTTTGAGTAAGTTGTCCACATCCAAACACTGTACCAATGGCTGAAATGATATCTGCATTCAGCAAAATAAAAGTGCTTACAGTATAATAATGTGAATTTTTGCTAACCCTCCACTACACCATACAATCAGCAAAGGCAGAATCCAGCTAACAAAAACAAAGGGATAGGAAGTCATACATCAACATGGGGGAGTCCATCTTTGGGTGGAGCTTCCACAGAAAGCAGGCAATTCTCAATGGCAAACAAGACCCGATCCTTTCCAGGAGTAGGCAAAGGTACATTGGAGACCATGTATGATATAACATCCCACAATGGCTTGCTGAAATTTTTATAGAGCTGAGAACATTAAATGCAATGAAAAAGATAACATGGAATTCCATTTTTAAATGAAGGATAAACTTAGCCATATCATAAATCATAAAATCGTATAAGTATTAATTCATCTTTTGAGAATGTGAAGATGGCCGTGTGTGCATGTCTACCAAGGAAAAGCCAAAAAGTTGGTAACTAAGTCCCAATTCCCACCTATTACAAGCCATATCACAGAGGACCTTCCATAAGAGATGTCGATAGAATTATTCTCATTTATTATTCCTTCCTTGTTATCATATTATCATTAATTAGGAGAATATGCTAAGTAAGGAATGTGTAGAAAATTCCTTGATTTCTACTTTAGGATCTTTATTTGATTGTATATATTTTCTGCTATAATTAGGTCCTAATTTGTAGGGATTTGATATACTCTTGATATCTATATATTGTAAATCTGTCAAGAGAGAAATACACAAAACTTTTCAGAAAAGCTCTTTAATTTGTCATGGTATCGAGCCGGGTTTCGACATTATTTCATCTTGTTGCCTAGTTTCGTGATCCTAGTATTCTTGTTCTTGGTTATTCTTGTCTTGTTGTTCAGATTTCAGTTGTTTGATTTGATATCATAGCCCTCTTTTTTTTTTTTTACTTGAATCATGTCTTTTGAACGATTTGAGCATTTTTGTGTTCGATTTAATGGCAAGAATTATTCGACCTAGGAATTTCAGTTCCAGATCTTTGTCAAGGAAAAGGAATTATGGGGTCATATTGATGGGACAAATATTGCACCTAATAGAGAAAAGGAGAAGGAAAAGTATGTGAAATGAGAAGTGAAGGATGCTCGGATTATGTCTTGGATTCTTGGAAGTGTCGAACCATCCATTCTGCTCAACCTCAAGCCTTAAAAAACTTCCAAAGAAATGTGGGGTTACTTGAAGAAAGTTTATGACCAGAGCAACACAGCACGAAGATTTCAGTTGGAACTTGAGCTGGGCACTCTTGTTCAAGGCAACATGTCTATCCAAGATTTCTACTCTTCCTTTCAAAATCTTTGAGCTGAATACACCGATATTGTGTATGCAAGTGTATCTTTTGAAAGACTCTGCTGTCCAAAGTGTGCATTAAACCAGCAAGCGAGATCAGTTTTTGATGAAATTGAGGGGAGATTTTGAAGGAATCAGATCCAATTTAATGAACAAAGATCTAGTTCCCTGTTTGGAGATTTGCCTCGGTAAACTTTTAAGGGAAGAACAAAGGCTTATTACTCAAGCTGCCATGGAGCAGAAAGCTCAAAATTCTGCTCCAATTCCTATTGCATATGCTGCTCAAGGGAGATTTAAAGGAAGTAGAGACATGACTAATGTCCAATGCTATAGTTGCAGAGAATTTGGGCATATTGCCACCAATTGTACTAAAAAATTCTGCAATTATTGTAAGAAAGCAGGACATATCATCAAAGATTGCTCCATTCGACCTCCAAATAAATCTGTTAGAGCCTACAATGTCTCGATTGATTCCTTAAGTGCTTCTAGTTCTACTGCCACGTCCTCTAACCCTACTTATGTTCCTAGTCCTGGTCAGTCCTCTATTACTCCTGAAATGGCTCAACAAATGATAGTTTCTGCTTTTTCTGCTTTAGGGATTTCAAATAATAACTATTCTGCTTCTAATCCTTGGTATTTCGATTCTGGTGCTTCAAACCACATGACCAATACTATTTTACCTCTTACCAATGCCCAAAAATATAAAGAAAATCTTCATATTCACACAGCCGATGGTAATTCCTTACCCATCACAGCTGTTGGTGATATTTCAGTCTCGTTAAATACTGTTTTTGTGTCTCCTAATCTATCCACTAATCTTATATCGGTTGGTCAATTAGTTGACAATAATTGTAATGTTCAATTCTCAAATTCTAGTTGTGTTGTGCGGAATAAGTGTCGGGGAAGACAATCGCACAAGGACCTAAAGTGGGACGTCTGTTTGTAATATTTTTATCTCCTTCCTATCCTTTGTTAAATTCTGTTGTTCGCAATGCTGTTCAATGTAATGATCAGGTATGGCATAAGCGTTTAGGCCATCCCAATTCTCATGTATTTCGCTTGTTGCTTAAATCTGGTTTAGTTGGTAATAAAAATTCAACTTTTGTTGATTATATCAATATTGATTATGCTTCTTGCAAGCTTGATAAAAGCAAAACCCTTCCTTTTCCTTTGCATACAACACACACCACAAAATCTTTTGGACTCATTCATACCGATGTCTAGGGTATTGCACCGGTGATTTCTCATGAGCATTATAAATATTTTGTCACATTCATCGATGATTTCATGCGTTTTACTTGGATTTATTTTCTTAGATCTAAAAGTGAGGTTTTCTATGTGTTTAAAATGTTTCTTGCCTTGCTTGATACACGATTCTCTGCCAAAGTCAAAATCTTGCAATCGGATTCTGGTGGCGAATATATGTCAAATGAATTTCAATCTTTCCTCCAAAGTCATAGGATTTTATCACAACGTTCTTGTCCTTTCACTCCACAAAAAACGGTGTGGCTGAAAGAAAGAATCATCACCTTCTTGATGTTGTTCAAACTCTTTTAATCGATTCTTTTGTTCCTCCTCATTTTTGGTGTGAAGCCTTGTCTACTTGCTATTTATTTAATAAATAGGTTACCTTCTCCAACCTTGGACAATGTTTCACCTTATCTTCGTTTATTTGGGCATGCACCGAATTACTCAAATCTTCATCATTTTGGATGTGTATGTTTTGTTCATCTTCCCGCACATGACAGAACTAAACTCACTACCCAATCTGTCAAGTGTGCTTTTTTAGGATATGCGAACACCAAAAAGGTTTTCTTTGCTATGATTCTCATGCTCGTCGTACTCGTGTCTCTAGGAATGTCATTTTTTTTTTAAATCAATCTTTCTTTAGCACATAACAGATTTCAAAATCTCCTTCCATATCTATTTTGCCATATTTTTCAGTCTCCAGCACCAATACAAAGATTTAAGCCTGGTCATGTTTATCAAAGACGTTGTCCATCTACATCCGATTCTCCTACGAGTCCCACTCGCGGTTCCTCTAGATCTTCCTATGGCATCCGATCCTATTCTACCGACTACTAGTGATCCAACACCTATCCGAAGAAGTTCTAGAGCTCATAAACCTCCTAACCGATATGGATTTACATCTCTTGTGTCTTTGTCTACTACTTTGTCTTCTATTTCCATTCCCTCTTGTTATAAACAGGCTATGGAACATGAGTGCTGGCAACGAGCAATGGAAGCAGAACTTCAAGCACTTGAGGAAAACCACACTTGGAATATTGTCTCTTGTCCTCCAAATGTCAAACCCACTGGGAGTAAGTGGGTTTATAATGTGAAACTCAAGTCCGATGGCTCTTTAGATAGATACAAAGCTCAACTGGTTGCTCTTGGAAATAAACAAGAATATGGGCTCGATTATGATGAAACCTTTGCTCCGGTTGCCAAGATGACCACGAGTAAGAATTATTATTGCTATTGCATCTTCTAAGTCTTGGCCCTTACTTCCGATGGATGCAAAAAATGCCTTCTTGCATGGAGACCTCAAAGAAGACATTTACTTGAAACTTCCAGCTGGTATATAGGTAACTTCTCCTCATGAAGTGTGCAAGCTAAGGCGATCCCTATATGGGCTAAAACAAGCCTCTCGAGCCTGGTTTGAGAAGTTTCACAGCACCCTTCCGAACTTCTCTTTCACACAAAGCCAATATGATTCGTCTCTCTTCTTTCATAAGACAACCATAGGTGTGGTTCTTCTCTTGGTCTATGTTAATGATATAATCATCACTGGTGATAACAAAGGTATGATCACTAAGCTCCAACACATGTTACATAATACATTTCATATGAAAGATCTTGAACATCTCACTTATTTCTTGGGGCTAGAGGTTCACTCTCGGGCACACGGGTTGTTCTTAAATCAACATAAATACGTCCAAGACCTTATTGACTTGGCTGGTTTGAAGGATACTGCTTCTATTGATACACCAATGGAGGTGAATGTGAAGTACCGAAAAGATGAAGGCGAGCTTACGCCTAATCCATTTCTTTATAGGCGACTAGTTGGTAGTCTTATCTACCTAACTATTACAAGGCCCGATATCTCATGCTTGTCCATATAGTTAGCAGATTTATGCAATCACCTCGGCATCTTCATCTTGCTGCAGTTAGGCGCATTATTCGATACTTAATTGGATCCCCTACTCGCGGATTATTATTTCCTACGAGTTCTTCTCTTCACTTGGCTGCATACAGTGATGCCGATTGGGCTAGATATCCGGATACAAGGAAATCTACAACTGGCTGGTGCATCTTTCTTGGAGATTCCTTGATTTCTTGGAAGTGTAAGAAGCAAGAGTGTGTTTCTAAATCCTCCACGGAGGCTGAATATACAGTCATGTCTGCAGCTTGTTATGAGGTTATGTGGTTACGTGGTCTTCTCTCCGAACTTGGATTTCCTCAAACTGATCTTACTCGGCTTCATAGTGATAATACTAGTGCCATTCGGATCACTTGCTAATCCAGTTTATCATGAGCGCACCAAGCACATAGAGGTGGATTGTCATTACATTTGGGATGCTTTTGATCACTGTCTTATCACTCTTCCTCATGTCACCACTGATCTTCAAATAGCTGATGTCTTTACTAAAGCTATGACGCGCCGACGACATCGGTTTCTTAGTACCAAATTGATGCTCGTAGACTTACCCGCATCAATTTGACGAGGGATGTCAATAGAATTATTCTCATTTATTATTCCTTCCTCATTGTCATATTATCATTAATTAGGAGAATATGCTAAGTAAGGAATGTGTAGAAAATTCCTTGATTTCTGCTTTAGGATCTTTATTTCATTGTATATATTTTCTGATGTAATTAGGTCCTAAGTTATAGTAATTTGATGTACTCTTAATATTTATATATTGTAAATCTGTCAAGAGAGAAATAAGCAAAACTTTTCAGAAAAGCTCTTTAATTTGTCAAGAGATACTTACCTACTTCCAGCAGAGGAGAAGCAAAGTGCAAATAACTCTTCTAGTGCATTTCTAAGAACACCAAAACTAGGGGAACGGGAAACAAGGCAGATACATTTGTCAGCATATGAATTTGGAGGTATACGGTAAGCTTGAGCAATATCCTCACTAACTGGATCCCGAAAGGCAATGCAACTAACATAAATTTTGGATCCATCACCCTCTGCATGAAAGTTTTTACATTAAAAAGGAAAATATGTTAGAAAAGAAATAAATAGAATAACACCCAAAAAAAAAAAAAACAGCACCACCACAGAAATGTATCAAGCTTTAAAAAATTCATATACATGAAATAAAACTGAAGCCATTGAGAAGTAAAGAGACACTAAAATTAAAAGGCAGTAATGCTTTCTGCTCTTCATCAAACATATTTACACCATTTTACTTAGCTTCAAAAGCTTCAAACCATCTTCAGCATTCTTCAAAAGATCATTCTTATTGATTAAATTGACTTCTCATTTTCCATGACAAGGAAAGATAAAAATCCAACCAAGATATAATCATTTGGTGGTTAAACTTTTAAGGCATTGCGCCACAGACAAGCTTAAAAAAGTTGTGCAACCTCATAGTTCTTTTTCCATAAGTAATGGTTTTAAATAATCTAGCATCCCCTTCTTTTTAAATACACCAAATAGGCGCAAACACCTCATGTGACAAAAGGTTCTTGCCATCCTTTCCCTTACAAAACCTGAAATCAATGACAAGTCTTCCATGACTTTTTAGACATCCACTACTCTTCTGAGTGACAAGAACCTTATGCCACATATTCCAAACAATTAAACAGTATTAAATAGGTAATCTGCTATTTCCAGTGTTGGTAAGGCACATTATAAACTACATGCATTTGGACAAATGCCTTATGCAGGCAGTCTTTCATTCATGATGGTGCTTTCTCCAAGTTTGTTGATCATTTCTTCTATCCATAGTTCATATATACTATAGTTGAATTTTATTTGTTTTCTTTCTGACACAGTAGAAGTAAAATCCACCCTAGTGGCTACGTTTATAGAAATCATAAGAAATTTAAACATAAATCTTCATAACAAACCCAGAGCAAGATTTATCGAGAAAAACAAAATTCACAAAGATAAGGTTGGGTTATGCATGCTCTTCATAGTTTCAACGAAAAGAACAACTTAGCAAAATTCCACCCATTCACAATAAGACAATAAAATTGAAGCCAGCACAGCTAACTTAAATGTTGCAACCGAGTTACATATCCTCTTTATTAAACAGGAAAACAATTTCACCGAATCAAAAAACAACTTCCTACTATTGCACAAAAAAGAAAAAGAAAAAGAAAATCTAATTTACACTATGAAAACCAATAAAAAACAGCTTTAATTATGAAATAAACAATAGCTGTCAAAAAAAAAATGTTACCAGTCAAAACAATGGGGTAACTTCTAGGAAATGTGGAGGAATCATTAGCATCAAATCCCGACGAGTAAAACTCCACACCACCAGGAAGCACACACTGCCATACACCAAGAATTACTAATCAAAACAAAACTAGAAGCAGATCCACAAAACCCTAATAAATCAGAAAAATCAGGAAAAAAACGTACAGTTGGGAGTTGAGGAGGAGGCGGAGGATAAAGAGAGTGACTATCAGGAGGATATTGATCGAGTAAAGAAGACAAATACAACACTCGCATTCCATGATATCCTTTGTTTCCATCCAGAGTTCTGATCTCCGGACCCAGTCCACACACCACAAAATACTCGAAGATCCGTCCCATTTTCTTTTCTTTTTTTCTATCTGAACCCTTCACCACACTTAAACCTTGACAACACCAACCCCACCATGGAAATCGCAAATTATTATGTGAAACCCAAACCGTAGAAACCAATCACAATTACTGCGCTGCCTGAACACCCACCACGATCGTCACCAGCACTTAACCCAGATTACAAATTCTACCATCATCTTCCGTATGATAATAAGATAACCTCCCAATTGAGGAATCTCTCTCTCTATGGAAAGTCTTCCTTCTCAGTTCAAGACTGATTTTCTTTCCAAGGTCGGGATTCTTTGTTGTTGAGGCAAAAGAAAAGCCAAAGGTTTTATGACTCGAGAAATTGAAAATTGCCAATTTAATAAAAACTTATTAGGTATTGATGGTACTGTTTGCCTTTTTGTTTTTATATTTAAAGAGAAAAACATCCTTAGCTCAGGGACTGAAGGATAGTTCGGGTATTTCATCCGAAAACAAACGGTATTCTGTGTAATAGCAATTCCCAGAGAAAATATTGAATGCTGATTTGATCGACATTCATCGGCTTTTGACATTTTCTTAACGTGATTTCTGTATATATATTTTTTATTTAACCCCTAACTTTTTCAATTATTGATATTTTCTTAATATAACTTGTATAATTTTTTATTCAATCCTTCCTTATGTTTTTTATTTTTTTTAATGTGATTCTTACAATTATTTTTTGATTAAAAAAATCTACGTGTCTTATACATCATATTTTTGTCACGTAAAAAAGATAAAAAAAATTATCTCATTTCCTCTTCTCCCTATCCTCTCTCTCTCTCTCTCAAAAAAAAAAAAAAACATAATTAATATTTGTGAGTAACATCAATAATTCAGAGTTCATGGCTAAACAAAATCAACATCAACAACTGATCCAGATATTGAATTATCCAATTGATTCTGTACAACCGGAAGCCCGTACATAATTTAGAAAGCAATCACCTACAACAGCATTGTTCAGAAATCTCCAAATTTCAAAACCCAATTTTCATGTTCTCGTAGAAACCAAAAACCCAAATCGCATCATCTTTCAAAACCCAAATCTTAACTTATGTCTTTCAAAACCCTCTCTCTTCGTCATAGCCATAAGCAACTACAGCTATCCCAGCTTGAGCCACCGAACTCGCCTTAAAATACAAAGACCCAGATTAGAACTAATCAAAGAAGAAAAGGGTCTACTCTAAGAGGAGAAAGACCCATTTGTGGAAGGAATTGTTGACGTGGCAGGCATAAATTGGTGGTAGTGTAGAAGCGTTGCGCGGCTAAAGCCTTATATGGGACTAGTGCAGGCGAAGATGATGATGATCTTGTTAGAATTGTTGATAACATTATAGGGTTTTGAGAATTTGAGGGAGAAAACCCAAATTTGATTTGGGGATTTGATTGTGTGATTTTCAAAATATTTAATGGTTGGTGTGTGAGGAACAATTTCTTGGATTTCAAGCTCTGCATGAGTTTAATAACCTGGAGATTGACTCAGATAATTAAGTTGCGTAAGGATGATGCCAAAAGCTTTTTATTTTTTTTAAGCTTTGTTTATTTGGTAAAAAACAACTTTTATATAAAAATCAATTATAAGAAAACTATTTTTCAAAAAATTATTTTTTAAAATAATATTTTTTAATATTTGATAATTACATATAAAAACTACTTTAAAATGTATTCTAGTATTTGTTTGATACGGAAAACTGAAATAGAAAAATAGTTTTTTTTAAATTGAACTGATGATTTAGTATAAAAAATAATTTTACAAATTATTCTTATCATTTATAAATAATTATTCATTTGGTTTCAAAATATTAATGCTGGAATAATATGTAACTAATTATTGACTACAATTACCGATAAAATCTTACAACTAATTAAAATTAGTCACAAATTATTGATTTAGTTACAAATTAATAGTATTAGAAAAATAATGCATTTATTAATGAATTAATTAGTTTCAAATTTTTCACAATTGATTGCAGTCTTGCAATAATTATTTTCAATCATTTAAATATAGTTTAGGTGATGTCTAGCATAATGGTAAAAAACATAGAGATAAATTATTAAAATATTTATTATAAAAATAATTTTAAAGTATAAAAATGATTTTTAAGAATATTTAATGTATTTATAAATTGAAAAATCAAATATGAGTAGAACTAGAGAAAAAATAATTAAACAGACTTTAGGTGTAAGGGTGATCATTAGATTTTTCGGTTTGGTTTCGGTATTTTTTCGGTTTTCGATTAACCAAATTGGATAAAACAAAAACCAAAATCAAACCAAATTGAGGTTCGGTATTTCGGTTAAAAAACCGAATTTTTCGGTTCAGCTTTTTGGTTTTCGATTAAAAACCAATTTTTTATTTTTTTATTTTTTTTGCATTTTTCTTCTAAAAACCGAATTATTTTGCTTTAAAAAAATATCGAACTTGCATAATCAAAGATTTCATATTTCACATTTGATTTTATAAGAAAATTGTGTAAGATTATTATTATTTCTCTATACTAAATTTGCTTATATTTATATTATAAACTAAATTAGTTGGTTTTTTCATTATTTTTTCAATCACGCTACAATTGATTTTTTGTTAATTTTTGATATTCTTTTTTATCTACTTATTTTGTGCATATTTTATTGTTGAATAAATAATATGAAAAAAATCAATTTTTAATTTAAGTTTAGTATAAGCATAAAAAGAGTGAAGAAAAATTATTATTGTTAGTTGTTATTAATACTACTATAGTACTATTATAAATGCAGCGGCTTCGGGTCAATTTTTTTAAAGGATATTTTTGGCCAACTTTAATACAAGGAGACAATTTTTTTTCATGAGGTTTTAGGATTCACCCACACATAAACTTGTGTATTTATAAAAAATTATTTTATCACAGTCTTTTTTTATTTGTTTGTGAGTCAATATAATATAATCGATTATTTTATTATTTCAATAAATAATTAATGAAAAATATTTTTATTTTAAGTAGAAAAAAATCATTAAAGCTATTGTTCTTTTAGTTAAACTCATAGGTGCCTCTTTTATTTTTATTTTTTAAAAAAGAGCTTGGGTATGTGTTTTTTTTAAAAAAAAAAAACTAATTCGGTTTTCGGTGGAAATCGAATTTGAAAAAAAAACCGAACCGAAACAAAATAATTTCGATTTTTGGTTTTGGTTTTTTTTCAAATTTTTTTAAAAACCGAACCGAAATTGCTAATTCGATTCGGTTCGGTTCGGTTCGATTTTACGATTTTAACCAAATATTCCTCACCCCTATTTGGGTGAATGTTACGAGGTTAAGAAAATGACAAATAAAGCTAAAGAGGCTTATAAAGATGGTTTGAGGTTGTACCTCGAGTTGGCTTTAGCTCAAGAGAAATTAGACCCTTGGCTAATTAATTGGGCCAATATGTTTGATTAAAAATTTTGAAAGATATTTTGTGAGAGGATAAACATGAACCTTATTGGATAAAGATCAAGGTTTAAAACGATAAGATAAAAAAAAACCCATATGCATAATAACTTTGAATCTTTAAAACATTAGGAAGCAACAACCAAAAGTCCTTTGAGTACTCATTCGTTGCCACTTCCTTATCATTGAAGGATAAGGAAAACACTCCCCTATAAATATAAATGGAGATACGACAAAGAGAGAAATCAAGCTAGGGTTACATGAAAAAAAAAAGAAATAAAAAGAGAAAATAGTTTTCTCCTCACACATACACACGCCATTTCTCCTGTCTCTCTTAGGGTTATTGTAAAATATCCTTGAATAGATTTCTAAAAAGAAAACACTAAACAAGTCGGAAAAATATGGAGCTAGCACTCTACTACTTCCTAGTACTTCTCGTGTGGGTGCTTGAAATATGTGGATTATTGATAGAGGTTAGATGCGTGAACGTCTCTTTTTTTACAAAAGTTAAATTCTATGCTACAAGAGGTAATCCTTTACTTATGCTTTAATTCATGTATGTATGATTAGTTGATTCAATAACTTAATCTTGGGAGCCTTAGATGAAGGAAAATTTTTATTTTATTTCACATCTCTATAGGATGCATGATCCTTCACCAATCTCCTTTAAACTAGTGCCATCATCCAACCTCGATTTCATATATTTCGCAAACCAACCCACACCGAGTCCTTTTTCCTTTTGTTTATCGAGAAAAATTAGAAGTGACCCTTATCGCTACTCAAATCTCTCTAGTTAAGTTATTAAAATCCTATACTTTAGTTTATGCATCCGTAGAATAAATTCATATTAGTTGAAATTAAATTTATTTTGTTGATGACTATTGAAGTGTGCTCGAGATACACCGTAGCATATCAAACTTGAAGGGTGAGAGACCTTTAAGAATTAAAGAAAAATAAAGTGGTGTTAATACTTTGTGATGGAGGCTGAAAGGATAAGGATTAAGTTTTAATTTAAATATATTATCTAAGACAAATGTTGGTCTTGATATGCTTAAATTGATTGATTTGGTTGCTTGATTGCGTTTGACTAAATGTGTCCGATTATGCCTATTTGTGTTGTCAATTAATGGATTGACTTGTTGTTTGATGTTTATGTGATGATAATTGATTGAACATGTGAATTTCGCTAGTTATGCCAATGTTTGCCTATTTATCATTTTGATTGAAAGTCACGATATCTAAAATTGCCTCGATGTAAACCTTAATTTTGATTATTTTTTATCAATTTTCATTTATCATGCCTACTTGTTTGTTGTTATGACTCGAAATTGTGATATTTGAAATCACGTCCGTCTAAGTCTATTTTGGATCGATTTTGCAAAAACGATTCATGAACAGTATGACGACATGCTCACCAACTAGAAAACCTCTATCCGTCCTAGAGCAAGTGTGATAGAGATGTCGGCAACAATGGGCCACACTTGAGTTTCGGGCATGTTTTGAACAAGCAATCCGAATCGTATGAATAAGATGAATGCCATCGGTATTAGCCCATCTAAATATATTGGTGGTTCTATTTCA